TTGCTGGATGATTGCACTGCTCGTCTGAAAATGTCCCACCCAGCAAAAACCCTGTACACCTCAAATGGAGAGCTCATTCAGTCATGGGACAACATAGAGAGGGATATGACTGTCTGTGTGTCTGCAGGACATGGCTTTATGACCTCAAAAGGTACGGATGACACCTTCTCTTTTATCAAGGCCTTGAAGAGTAAAAGCATTTAGTCTTCTCTGCAGAGTCCTTGCCTGTTGAACTTTGAATACTGTAGGATGATTTTTAGTAATTACACTCCTCATGTGTGCAATTCCATGTTATAAAGGCGAAGTTTATATCTGTGTGTGCAAGAGAAACCATAGTTAACGTGGTTTACTCTAAGGAAACACAACCAAATTTCAGTGAGTCTTGGGCCTTACCCAGGCCTATTTACAGAAATATTGATATTCACGTTTGAAAGCATTTCGTCAGTTATGAATGGAAAGTGAGGTTCCTGTTGACTTCTTACTATTTGAATTATTCAAAGCAATGCTTTATTAATGGAATTCTCAGCTTGAAGATTTCCATTCTCTTGCAAGAGTAAGTATTGGCTAGTTTTAATAAACTCTCCATTTCCTTTGATAAACGAAAGAAATGGAAAGGCCATATTTACAAAATGAACTCTGGTCTTTTATCCTACTTATCCTGAAGAATTCAAAGCCCTTTTCTGTAGGAAGGTAGATACTAGCAAAATATAATTGTCAGGAAATTCCAAAAAAAACATTGTTTTTACATAAAGGAAATGAAAAGATTAGAAAGAAAATTACCTGATATCCCTAAAATAAAAATACTGAAATTTTTTTCTTTTAGAAATGAAACGTAAAATTATTACTATGTTATATATAAGGTGAGTGAATAGAAAGGTTTTAAGATAATTGGAGATATACTCACATTTAGCCCAGAAGAGACAAAAGTATAGAATTGCTTTCAAAAACTGGGGAGACACAGATTTATTGAGATGTCTAGCATTGTTCAGAGGGACGGCACAAAGTCTCCCTCCCTCGGCACTATCCTTCCTTATGGACAAGGTCCCAGTCTTCGCGTTCTTCCTGTTCTGTTATCTCCTTCTCCATCAGGGCTCTGAACCTCAGCTCAGTGGTCACTTAGATGCATTCAAAAATGGTAAAGTTGTTGTCATTTGTAAATGCTAGTTAACAGCTTTCTGTAGTCTCAAAGTATTCATCCTATAAGAGTAATATACACAAGACTTCCTTTCCTGAGAGTCTTCAATTTATTTGTGAATATAAATGCTCTAGTTACTTTTCTTATTGCAGTGGCCAAATGCCTGGGGGTACAGCCCATCATGGCAGAGAATGGCCTGAAGCGAAAGGAGAGTGAAGGTCATATTGCACCTGCAGTCAGGAAGCAGAGTCATGAAGGCTGATGCTCAGTCTACTTTCTCTTTTATTAGGTCCAAATCCCCAGCCCACAGGTGTGTGCCACATCACTTAACCAAGTCTAGAAACCCTATCAAGGACATGTCCAGAAATTTGTGTCCTAGGAGATTCTAGATCCTGTCAAGTACCCCTCAATATCAGCCATCACAGTGAGCACTCCTCAAATGATCACAGCCAATGGAAAAGTAAGCAAATGGGCGCTTGCTTCAACAGGAGGCTCTGGCTCAGTCCCTCATTACTCACACTGCTCAGTCTTTCATAGTCTCAGCATGAGCCTTCTTGCCACATAGTGCTCACCAGGTCTGACTGATAAATAAAGCTAGGTCTGCTTCAGGAAAGTCGTCACTAAGGGTAGCCAAACCATAAAGGAAAATCTGGACTGCCTTCCCAGGAGCAAGTAAATTCCCAGGAAAATCTTCCCCAGTGAAACCTGGGAGGGGGATGGAGAACATTAGAAATTCCAAAAGCACTCTCCCTACCATTTTTCTCTCTGCTAAGTCTGCAGACAAACATTCGTTTTCAAATCTTCAGTTTTATAAACACACATTTCTGTGAGGTCAAACCTGGCTCCTGTCCTGTGGACGAAGGTTTCCCAGGCCGCCTTCATGGTGAAGGGTTTGTGCTTTCCCCCAGCTGCCCGAAATCTTTCCAGTGCGTCATGTCTGACATGGGAAATAGGAATCTGATTTTTTGATGCCATTGTGTTGTTTTCATGAGATAAAATAAAAATAATCACCTACTAGAAATCTATACTTTCCAAAAATACTTTAAAAATGAAGAGAAATACTTTTGAATGTATTTATTCATTGTGAGATGTTTAGTTAAGTAATCATTCCACATGTGGTTTTTTTTTTCTATGACCAACCAGCTAAGAGGTGTGTAAGAAAATAAGACATTCTGAGAGTCTTAAAACACGATGATCGGCCGGGCGGTGGTGGCGCACGCCTTTAATCCCAGCACTCGGGAGGCAGAGCCAGGCGGATCTCTGTGAGTTCGAGGCCAGCCTGGGTTACCAAGTGAGTCCCAGGAAAGGCGCAAAGCTGCACAGAGAAACCCTGTCTCGAAAAACCAAAAAAAAAAAAAAAAAAAAAAAAAAAAACACGATGATCATTTATTTCATACACAACAATACAAAAATCACTTAAGAGGGAGATGCATTATGCTGTTTTTTAAAATGAATTTCATTAGGCAAAACAGAGTAGAAGCTTTCTGAATTTCATCTTTCTCATACCCTCCACACACTCAAGAATGCTTTCTGTTGTTTGCAGTAAAGCCCAAATACTGTTCCCAAGGCTTTATTTTCCATCTTTTCAGTGGGTTTGTCTGTTCAACACTCTCCCGTGTTAGATTCTTATTCAGACGCTTTATATGGTTTGGGAGGAAGTCCTCTCTAGCGCCCCCGATTGCACGGACATCCAAAGAGTTGCAGCCTGTGCCTGATGGGGTGAGCACAGCCAGTGTGTGGTGAGGATGCAGGTGGGGGCAAGGAGTCTGAGGGAGCTTAGATGCCCCCATCACTCCGCACTTCAATTCTATAATTCAGTTCCCTAAATACATTGACCTGTCTCTGAATATATGTGCTTTCCTTTTAACAGAAGAAAAGCAACTGGTGGACGTCAAAGCAAATTTTGCCAGGATCCGACGGCATCGGGGCCCGGAAGCGACAGACATTGTGGTGTCACCATCCATGAAGCTGCGGTCTCTCATGGAGCTACACAACTGACCTCAGCCAGAACCTCATGCTTGTGCTGTATTTTACGGGTATAGCTTGTTCTCATATGCTAGTTATGACATGATAGTTCTGTATCCCTTTTGACTCGTACACAGTCTCTCTTTTATTCCCACCCTCAGCACTGAGATTTGAACCTTGTCGTTGAGCATATCCTTGAGCAGTGTGCCACTGAGCTATGCCTCCAGCTCCCTCAAACAGTCTCTTTTAAAGGTTATTAGTTTCCACATTCCATGTGAAGTAGCATTGGATGCCTCCAGTCTGTTCCTGGAAAGGCAACAAAACCAGACAAATAATGCAAGTAAGGTGATCATCTTAGGTGAACTGTCTTTGAGAAAATAAAAGCACAAACTACTCGTTATTGAAAAGAAACTTAGAAGAATCAAGGAACATACATATATGTACATATGTGTGTATATAGATAGGACAGTGATAATAAAATGACTCTTTGATCACTGAACCCTAATTTCAACTCTAAGTAGCATTTTCTGGCTCCATTTCTCTGATTTTTGAGCTTCTGTTAAAATCCCTCACATACCCAATAAAACTGGAACGGCTGGTGGCTACCAAATACACAGAAATCTGTCTTTTCTTCTCTAATTTTTTTTCAGTTTTGTATGCCTCTCTGAGGGCACAGTTAGATGTCACTCATGAGAATGAAGGTGGGTAGGTATAGTAAAAGGTTGGTAAGAAGAAGTCATAGAGTGTGTCCTCAGTACAAAAATAGAGAATGTAAAGGCAGTATTTCAAAGACCATCCATGTAAGGAAGATGGGTGTGAATGTGTGTGTCTCTGGAGTCTTGATGTCATTTCTACAGAACAAGAGGAATTTATCTGTTAATTTGTTCCTGGGAAGAAGAGAGACCATTTAGAAAACCAATGGCAGTGCCAGGCCTGAGTTAGTTCTGTTGCTGGTGGGATGCTTCAGGGAACCGCCCCTCCTCCCTGTCTTCTTCTGTACCGCACACAGTTCTGCCACAGTGTAAATCGCAGCCTGGCTAGGTGTGTACACACAGAACAGCACAGCCGGGCTCCCACCTCAATCCTCCATGACGTGATGCAGGAAGGCAGTGTATCATGTCTACTGAAGGGGGGCTTTTGGGAACTGCTACAAAAGGCCCGATATTTATTCCTAGTCTGCAAATCAGTGGGGCTGCATGAATAAATCCCTGCTGCCTGGGACACCGTGCTGGTGAAGTCTCGTGTGTTAGATAGGCAACAATTCACCCTTTGGCAAACATTTTATCGTGTGATGTTACAGAGGCAAAGGTGGTCCAGGGCAGCTTTACAGCAGAGGAAGCAATACTCCATGATGCGTTTACTTTTTCTTTTTTGTTATTTTGCTGACAAGCCTGAAAGAAAACAAGAAAGGTTAGGAAACTTGCCCACGGCTGGACAGTGAACCATCAAGAGTCCCACCGACTGGGTCTTTTCCTTGCAATGAAATGACTTGATCACAATTCCCAAAAAGAAAATAACATTTTTTTTTTCAAAATTCTGTGAAAACAAATGCATTTCTTTAGGTGCAGAAGCACCTATCATTTACTGCCAGGGAAAAGTTGCTCTGCTATGAAAACAGCATCATTCACCCTAGATCAAATGTGCAAATTCCTGTGAAGTCTTCGCTGTTACATGGGAACAGGCCTGAAGCGAAAATTGATAATATCACAAGCGCCCTATCAAGCACCAGGAGACATCAGGCAAAAGCCTTAAGTGAACTCCTCTGTTGCCCGTAAATGGGATTTTAGATGTAATCTAACAGTCATCAACACATCACATTTGACTGGGGAGGCAGCCACACGTACTCCGTAGATGACAGCTTGCAAGAATAGCTGCGGGATCCGTAGTCAGCTCTAACTTGGACTGAAACAGTCCAAAGTTTTTCCTTATGATTGCCTCTCTTTACCAGCTGGAGTTTAACTGGGGGGCAGTTATTACACCTTAGCAAGAACTATAGGAAAAGGCTATTTCAACTCAGTGAGTTGTCCTGAGCTTCTAATAAACACAGTCATTTCCTCTGGGGACATGTTTATCAAATTCCAATCAATTTCATACATATGTCAGATTTCAGTTTTGTTTTGTTTTTTAACCAGCTGAAAGCCAGTTATTATCAGATACTAAAGGAGAACCCTCAAGGCTATAGCCTTCCCCAGAAATGTATTCCCTGCTGGTTCACCACCCTTGAGGTGTGAGTCAACCGTGGACACCTGCATTGGTGATTACTTTCAGAAGAACTGGATTTCTAACAATGTTAACAACACGCAGTTTGTTGAAAAGTTTGACGTGTGTGAGGCTAAATGACTGTTCATAATAAACACTTCACCTGAGTGCTTCTTTGAGCTTTGTGAGACAGGACTCTGTAATGCTTCAAATCACCAAGGTATTCCAGGGTAGTAACTATGAGTTTCCATTTTTTTATGATTGCTCATAATAAGTAAATATTGTTTTACAAATCCACAAAGTAAAGTGAAAGCAAAAACCAGAAAAAAATGAAGTTAAATATGTTCTCCTTTGCCACAAACTCCCTTAGAAACTATAACCATTGGGTGTTGTGACCTTTGTACTAGCTATCACCTTCAGTGACAGACCTAGCGTGCTGAATGTCACTGAGAGATTTGTGGTTCTCCAATGCAACAGTGTAGGGGCAGCATAATTTGGGAGGATGCGATTAGAGCATACAAATCTGTGTCATTCGAGATGATAATAAAATCAGATGCCAATGTTCTCAATTAAACAGAATCTGGACCATTGGACAGTGGTCCTCTGCTGTGTCTATTAAACCAATGGCTCCAGTTTCTGACAGGCCCTGAGCACACTCTACTGTACAATTAACTAGGGAGTACCTTGCCTGGCAGCTTGACCACACCTTCTGTCTATCCCTAAGCTGTCAGTATCTGTCTTAGGGTTTCTACTGCTGTGAGAAGACACCATGACCACGGCAACTCTCATCAGAAAAACATTTAATTGAGGGGGCTCACTTACAGTTTCAGAGGTTCAGTCCATTATCACCATGGCGGAGAGCATGGAGGCATGCAGGCAGACATGGTGCTGGAAGGAATAGCTGAGAGTCCTACAAAGAACAGGAAGTCAGCTGAGATGCCAGGCAGTATCCTGAGCATAGGAAACCTCAAAGCCCGTCCCCACAGTGACACACTTCCTGCAACAAGGCCACACATCCTAATAGTGCCACTCCCTATGAGATTATGGAGGCCAATTACGTTCAAACTACCATAGTATCCTTCTGAAACCCTTCAGATTCCATTGTATCACGGACCACAAACACTAGTACATTCAATTCAGAATCACCATCCACTTACCTTAAGAACATAACTTTGGGCCTCTGCTCTTTTTCTCTCTCCCCACTCAGTCGCACAGGGGCACCAGCACTTGCTCTCTCCTCCTATATTCTATTTGCAGATGTGGTGCGGTGGGACAGCCTATTGGTAATACCTTTGCATTACAGGCTGGGAGAACTAAAAGATGCTGTGGCTTGACAGTGGGAACCCTCTGAATATCGATCTGCTGCTGCTTGGAAGGTCCACTGGCTCTTAGCAGCATCTCTCTGGAGTGGGCTGTGTCCGTCCTGCTTGGCAGTTGCTTATGACTTCGCAGCCCCAAACCATGCCATGTAGGCAGAGTTCTAGTTCCTCGTGTTGGGAGGGAAACTGCCGCTCTCTGCTTCTGCTTACATAGTCTTGGAGGGAGGAAAGTGTGCTCAGGGCCAGTCAGAAACTGGAGCCATTGGTTTAATAGACACAGCTGAGGACCACTGTCCAACGGTCCAGATTCTGCTTAATTCTCCTCTAAGAAACTTTGAGTCTGATTTTTCATCTAAAAATGAATAAAAGAAATCCACCCACGGAGGTGGCTTGATTGGAAAAGTGCTTTTGCCCTCAAAGCATGAGGACCTGAGAACGTGATCCCTAGAAACCATGTAAAGAAGCTGGGTGTGAGCCATAACCACAACCAGCCTGGCAAGATATCCCTAAAGATGCAATAGTGTTACTCTTATCTTGGAAGTCTAATTGGATGTATGGCCTGCTCGACAGGAAGGAAATCATGCCTGGCAACGGAAACCCAGGCAACTACCCAGGGTTAATGAAGTCATGGATCATAGAGGAGAACCTACAACCACCACTTTGCTAAACCAGCATCATTCCTAACTGCATTCATTCTAAATACTTATTTGCTGCACAGATAAATGTAGTTCTCATGTCTCACCAAAGAAACTTCTCTTTGCAATAGACAGAGACCATTATAGAAAACCACAACTGGTTAAAATGCAGAGAACAAGTGCCCAATGGTCAACCCTTAAGTCATATATGTACAAGCAACAGTAAAGGGACTCATCATTGCTGTGGATATCGCTTGATATAAATAAAGCACTGATTGGCCAGTGACCAGGCAGGAAGTATAGGCGGGACAAGGAGAGAGGAGAATTGAGGAAGGAGGAAGGAAAGGGAGACCAGCTGGAGCCACTGCCAAGAACAAGGAAGATGTAAAGTACCGGTAAGCCACGAGCCACGTGACAAAGTAAAGATTAATAGAAATGGGCTGGATATAAGAGTGAGAGCTAGACAATGATAGGCCTGAGCTAACGACCAAGCAGTTTAAATAATGTAAGAGTCTGTGTGTTTATTTTATAAGTGGGCTCCGGGTCTGGCGGGACTTGGTGGTGGGAGCTGGAGAAAAATTCTCCAGCTACACATCATCATATTGTATTATGAATATATGTATGTGTGTGTACACATATATGTAACCATATCATATATATAAAATCAAATTAAAAAGGCTATGAATTTGAGATGGGGAAGGGACATAAGAGAGAGGGACATATGAAGAAACTGAATGGGGGAAATGATGTAATTATTTTAATTAAAAAAAGGTTTTAACCTGGGTATGGTGGTGCACAGTTGTAATCCCAGTGCTGGAGAAGTGGAGACGGGGCTTGATGACCAGCTGACCTTGCCTAATTGGTGAGCTCCAGGCCAATAAGAGAGTCTGCCTCAAAATAAGGTAGACAACTCCTGAGTAACAACACCCAAAGTTGTCCTCTGGCTTCCTCCATGTACATGTACAAATATGCATGTGCACACACATGAACAGATACACAAATGAATCACAATCCTTCACAGAACTTGTGACTAAGTTCTCCTAATAGAATTCTCCAATTTTAGTGTACATAGTGAGTCCCTGGGAAGCCTGATTGAAAGCAGATTCCTAGGGTTATGATCCCTGTGCCTGCATAGGGCATTTTATCGAACTCCTGGGGAGAAGTGGGGGAAGTTGCCACAGCTGAAGAAGCTTATCAGGAGTTGAGGGCTTGACAAGGAGTGTGCTGTTTACAGTCAGCTGGTGGCCCAAGCTGGAAGTCCCAGTCTGAAGACCACTCTCCAGTCCCTGCCAACCCCTTTGCTGTGTGTGAGGGATTAGGCGTAACTATCCTTGTGTGTATTCATTGCCACTTCCCTAAGAAATTAGGGAAATAGTCTTTCTTTCTTTCTTTTTTTTTTTTTTTAAAGTTGGGTTATTGAGACAGCGTCTCTCACTTAGTGCAG